CCTCCTCCGCTTCCTCCTCCTCCTGCTCCTCCTCCTCCCCCTCTTAGTCCTCCTCCTCCTGCCACTCTGGCGAAAGGTAACTAAACTCTTACGTCTGGTCGATCCTACACGCCCCCATCGAGTCGGGCCTGCCAGCAGCTCCAGCGTTGCCGCCGGGCGGGCCACACGGGCACCTGACACCAGGAACCTCTGGATCAGGAGCCCAGGGTCTGGAAGCCAGTGGAACTCCTCCTCCTCCTCCTCCTCCACCTCCTCCTCCTCCTCCTCCTCCTCCTCCTCCTCCTCCTCCTCCTCCTCCTCCTCCCCCTCGTCTTCGGCACCGCCGCCCTCGCCAGCTGAGACACCGTCCAGGGTCTGAAGCTCCGTGGGCACTCTTTAACGAGCGCCCCCACCGCAGTGCGGCGGGTGCGGGCGGCAGCGGGTGTGGCGGGGCGGTGGTTGCCGAGCAGGCCCGAGCGCAGGCACGCCCGAGCGGAGAAAGCTGCGCACAGACAGAAGGCCACCCGTGCATCTCGGCAGGCGATCGACTAGATCTTCCAATCCTAGAACAGCAAGCGGCGCCCAACGCCGATCCACGAAATCCGTGCAGAGCTCCGACACATTATGTTTATGCAATATTTGTTGCTCCTCTCTCCTGCTCGTGCTCGTGCTCGTGCTCATGCTCCTGCTCCTGCTCCCGCTCCTGCTCCTCTTCCTCCTACTGCTCCTCCTCCTCCTCCTCCTCCTCCTCCTCCTCGTCCAGTGCTGGCTTATGTTTATGGCATTGCTTGCTCTTCGAACTCCATCCACCGTCTTTTTAATTTGGACCTCGCGGGGCTCGGACTCACGATGGGGGGGCCCAAGGAGCCCAGACCCCCGACGTCACGGTTTCCTTACAGCGTGTACCCTTAGAAGTCTCGGCCCACTCCCCGGGACCAACTTTCTATCCTGAGCCGTTGTGTTGCGGTCCTATGGCCCAGCGAAGGCCCCCAGAGGACAAATATAGCAGCAGCAACAACAAAAATGCCTGTCGTGTTTTTTCCTGACGCGAGGGAGTCTGGGTTTGTACCCCCGACTTTCACTATTCATCCCCATGTCGTCGGCCGATCTGAGACCCAGGAGAAGGATAAGCAAGAGGAGGAGGTCTTGGAGACTAAAGCCTGTGTTGGGAACTGAATCGCTGGAGCGGTCAACATCACGAAGCAAAGGGCTACCACTCTAGTAAAAACCTTCAAACGAGTTAGATTGGGGAAGGCTCAACCCCATACAGCCGTATGAAATATAACGTGCGAAGGGTCAGAGTGAAAGCAAGTCCGCCGGCATTGCCGCCGGGCCAAGATCTGACGGCCAACGCCTCGTCGGAGGACGAAGCCGCAAGAGCGGACACGCTCGCTGCCCTTCTATGAACAACACTTCCCGACGTGCTAGGCTGGAAAAGGCTCGCCCCCATACAGCCGTAACAAGGCGCTGCCCTGTGGATGTAGATACGTCGTGGGAGCCTGCCTTGTGAAGGCAGGACCGCCAGTATTGCCGCCAGGCTGTGGTCAAACACGCGGAATAAAGTCAAACTGTTTTCACGTGCTGGGCGGGGGAAGCGTCATTCCCATGCAGCCGTGTGAAGTATCAAAGGGCTGCCCTGTGGAAGTTGGTACCACGTGCCAGAGAAAACTGTGAAAGCAGGATCCCCAGCATTGCCGCTGGGCCGTGCCCTGGAAGTTAGCACCTCGTCTGTGGATGGAATCGCTCGAACGGACAAGCCCACGAAGCAAAGAACTGCCGTTCTAGGGAGAAAATGCCCCATGTTCTGGACTGGGGAAGGCTCGCATCAAGGCGCAGCCCTGAGAGGACGAGGAGGAGGAGGAGGAGGAAGACGATGAGGAGGAGGAGGATGGGGAGGAGGAGCAGGGAGGAGGGGAGAGGACGAGGACGAGGAAGAGGAGGATGGGGAGGAGGAGGAGGATGACGAGGAGGAGGAGGACCAGTGTGAACCCAAGAGTCATCAACGATGTTGGAATAAACCCTCCCTCCAAGCTCCTTCTTCATAGGCCCCATACAACGGTTGATGGCCTTTGAGGGAACTCCCTCGTTGGAAGACAACCGTTTGAAGACCCTGAAGCATGCCAAAACACTGTTCTTGGGATTCCAACGCCACGGATCAGTCTGGTTGTTGCGTCTTGACGATCCTAGATCGTGCCAGAACGCCTTTCCTGGGACTTCAACTGTTGCACCCTCATAATCCAGAATCCTTCCAAAACACCATCTCTGGTACGTTGATCATGGAATCCAAGAAACTCTTGCACATGTTAAATCTGAATGTGCGCGGCGCTAAGGCGAGAGCCACATCTTGAAAAGGAGCCGTCCTCAATCCGTGAAGCTCTTGCAAATGGTCGGCGCTAAGGCGAGAATCACATTTTCAAAACGGGCCGCCCTCAATCCGTGAAGCTCTTGCAACTGTTTGAATGTGAAGCGAATGTACGCGGCGCTAAGGCGAGAGCACATGTTGAAAACGCCCCGTCCTCCATATGTGAAGCTGTTGGCAATGTTTCAGCTTCAGGGTCATAAGTGGTGAGGAAGCCTCAGGCGCAACGCAAGGGCCCGCCCTAAAAAGTGGCTTCGGGGTGCGACAGGGAGAAGTTAATTACCAGGAAAGGGAATGGAGGAGGAGGAGGAGAAGGAGGAGGAGGAGGAAGAGGAGGAGAAGGAGGGGGCAACGACGACGACGACGACGACGACGACGACGACGACGACGACGACGACGACGACGACGACGACGACGGGAGGGGGACTCTGCGCAGCTGGCGATGCACGGGCCGAAACCGCGGCGCGCGGCGCGCGCCCGCGCGCCCGGCTCCGTGTACGCCTGCTGCGCGGCCCGCTGGACCTCGGCGATGCCCTCGGCGAAAAACTCGATCTCCTCGGACCTGCACGAAGAGTGGGGGGGGTGGGGGACGAGGACGACGAGGACGATGAGGACGATGAGGAGGAGGAGGAGGAAGAGGACGGGGAGGAGGAAAAGGTGGTTGAGGAGGAGGAGGAGGAGTGGCCCAGGTCTTTAAGATACGGTTCCTGCTGTCCTAACTAACGCGGGCAGCGGCGAACATTTTCTGTGCCCGTCCGCGAACGCCAACTACTTCGGGTGCGTGAGCCACACGCAGTTCGACAGTTGCCTCTCCACGTCCCTAGAGTAGAAACAGCTCGAGGCGGCGGCCGCAGCAGATCGGAGTTCCCAGACGTTCAGACGTGGTGGACTGCAATGGAAGTGGATTCGTGTTCGCCGACCCCATTCTGAGACGGCCGCGTCGAGACGTGAGTTGGCGTCTCGCCTCGACCTTGCTGTCGCCGAGGCTGTGTTTCACATGTGCGTCCGCTGGTGGGTCTGGGCAGGACCAATGCACGTGCCTGCTCCTCCACCTTCTCGGGCCTTCAGTTACGACGATCTGCGTGTCAATGCGTGCTTGGCCGAGCTTGGCCGATATTTGACCAGGATGAGGTTTCGGATTCGGAGGTGGAGGTGGGTGAGAGGATGATCAAATAAATTCGTTTGTTTTGCGTGTCTCAGTCAGCTACAGTACCTTCCTCACTCCTCCCTCCTTCATACTTCCTCCCTCCCTCCTCTCTGCTGTGCTCTGCGAATGTGAGCCCAGGAGAGGCCCGGAAGCGGCAGGACACGAGCCTGCCGCGCCTTGTCGCCAGTTGCCAGTGGTGTCACTGCCATTGACCGTTATGAGCTGATTGTCGTCAATGTCGTTGTGATTGCGATTGCAGCCTCGCTCCCTCGTCGCATGGCTGCCTTTTGGGCCACGTCGCGCTGACCAGGGGGTCGGATGTGATAGGTCTGTGTCCTAACCTCGTCCATCGCTCTCGCTACTGCAAATTATTCCTTCCTCCCTCCTCCTTGCTTTCCCCCTCCAGAGTGGCCAAATGCCCAGTCTACGGTAGTCGCTCCTGTGTCAGACCCGGTGGCGGCCCAGCTGACTGATATGAGTGTGGGGTGTTTGGGCTGGGCATGCATATGAAGGACACTGCCCTCAGAGCTCCTTCGGCGCCCGTGCAGAGTCTTTAGTCTGACCAACGTTCTGCGAGTTGCGTGCTGGCCGCTGCTGACAGGCTCCCAGTTTAATCCGAGAAACTCCCTTCCCCCTCCTGCTCCTCCCCCCCCACCACCACTAGTCGTCACCACCGCCACCACAACGACCACCACCACCACCACCACCACCACCACCACCACCACCACCACCATCATCATCATCATCATCATCATCATCATCATCATCATCATCATCATCATCATCATCATCATCATCATCATCATCATCATCATCATCATCATCATCATCATCATCATCATCATCATCATCATCATCATCATCATCATCATCATCATCATCATCATCATCATCAGCACCACCCACCACCATCACCATCATCCTCATCCTCATCCTCATCCTCATCCTCATCCTCATCCTCCTCCTCATCATCATCATCATCATCATCATCATCATCGTCGTCGTCGTCATCATCATCACCATCACCATCGTCGTCATCGCAATCGTCAGATTCATCGTCGTCATCGTCACCGTCATCACCATCATGACCGTCATGATCAGCATGCTCATGATCATGATCATGATCATTATCATCATCATCACCACCACCATCATCATCAGCATCATCGTCATCGTAGTCGTCGTCGTCATCGTCATCATCGTCGTCGTCATCATCAGCACCACCAGCACAGCCACCATCATCATCAACATCATCATCGTCATCATCGTCATCATCATCATACTCATCATGGTCATCGCCATCGCCACCGCCATCGTCATCATCAGCATCATCATAGACCATCATCATCATCATCCTTATCATCATCATCATCATCATCATCATCATCATCATCATCATCATCATCATCATCATCGGCATCATCAACATCATCAACATCACTCCATTCATCCTATTCATCGTCATATTCCTCATCATCATTGTCATCCTCATCCTCATCCTCATCGTTATCATCGCCATCACCATCGTTTCACACTGGCCATCGAAAGAGAAATGTGCGTCCCGTGCATGCCGCACGAAACTAAATCTGCTCGATTCGTCTGACTATTCGTCGAAAATTGCTCGCATGCGCCCAACTGAGGCGCATCGCATGGCTGATAAAATTGCGAAAAAATGAATTCTGTATAGCAGATCAACTAACATAACAATATGTGCTCTCTAATGTGAGGTTCTCGCACTCCTGACGCTCTCAATCCTCCTGCACCTTCACACCTTGGACACGCTTTCCCACGCGGCCCATCCAATTCAGAAACTTAAACTGCCAAGACGGCTTGTAAGGTCGGCACTCGGGAATTGGCAACGGGCGGCCGACACCGTAGAAGTAACCAAAAGCACCTCCAAGTCCACCCGTGTTGCCAGAGCGACGATTCAGCACGTAGCCAACTGTAAACTCTTGTACCTTGCCTGCCTCGTTGAACTTCATGCTGTACGCCTCAGGAGGAAAAATGAGAGCCTTGCCAGTGGCTGGCTTCCCCATGAACTCAGCAGTATTGGTACCAGTTTTGCGCGTCTGGAACCAGACGCGATTCGGCTCGAATGGGTCGACGCGGAAGAAGTGGTAGTTGGGATTGGAGTCCGGAAAAGCGTCCTCTATCTTGAAGGTGCCAAGAGCACTCAGGTACTGCTTTTTACCGAGGGGTCCGACGACCGGCGCGCAGAACTCAAAGTTTTCGGCGAAGTCCGCGCCCGAGTCCCGGGTGCCGACCCCGGCTGCCAGGACCTCTTTGCAGCGCCTGATAAGGTCCTCGGGCTTGATGGCAAAGGTGCTCTCAGCAAGCATGGCCTCCTCGTCCACGCACTGTGCGGCAAACTCTGCGTCCCGCGCCTCAGCAGCTCGAGCTGCCCGCCTGCTCTGCTTCCGTGCCCTCTTGCGGCCTTGGCTGCCGGCCCAAACCACGCCGCCGAGCGCAAGCAACCTCTGCGCAGACGCACCAGAGGCGCCCGAGGGCCTTGGCATACACTGTAGAGGAGGCGTGGCGCCTGACAGCTGCCGAGGCTGCACACGCGGAGCCCGTGTGCCCACAGGCTGGTGGATTGCAGGCCCAAGCCAGGCAACCGGCGCATCCCCAACCATGGCAGCTTGGCCTTTCTCTTCAGGACGCGGCCTGAACAGAACCTGCTGCGACTTGAGCAGAGACCGAACAACTGAGCAGGCACGTGGACTGACTCGCCATTGAAAGCAGCTCTCTCTCTCTCTCTCTTTGTCTCTCCCTCTATCTATGTAGGTGTATATATATATATACATGTGTATAAGTATATATACATATATATACATGTGTACATAAACATACATATATATAGATATATACACATCGATATCTGTATATACACACTATACATAAGCCTATGCTATATACGATATATACACACAAATATATGTCTATATACATATATTGCGGGTTCCGGAAACCCTGAACCCAAAAATGATGTCTGTCATCTCTTGGGGGCGCATGTTTTACTTCCGCCACCTTCCGCCGCCCTCCCGCCAGCTTCCGCCTGCGGAGGCGGCCTCGTTTTACTTCCGCCGACCTTCCGCCGCCCTTCCGCCGAGGAAAAGATGACAACTCCTTCGATCGTTGTAGGCCCGGCCCTTTCTGGAAGACTCCGTGTATATATATATATATATATATATTTATATGCATATCTAGAGATAGGTGTATCTATCGATCTACACATACATACATACATGCAAACATACGTACGTACATACATACACACACTCATACGTACATGCATACATACATACATGCATGCATGCACATGATTGAGCGAGTTCAGAGCGTGTGTTTTGTTCAGTATAGGCTGCAGAAGGGAGGGAGAGAGAGCCAGCCATCCGCTGCAAGTGGCTCAAGTGAGATGGCGTGCTGAAAGAGAGCACGATGGCGGGCCCTCCTCCATCCGCCCCAGAGGGCGCCCGAGCGGGCTGGCGATGGCGAGCGCGGCTGGGCCTGGTGGTCCTCGGCGTCCTCAGCGGCGTGGGAGCCTGGAGGGCCGAGACAGGCCGGGCGCGGCTGGAGTGGGCCGCCACGTCCTTACTGGCCTTCGGCACGCTGGGGTGGTGGCTTGGGGCCATCTGCCCCTGGACGATGCTCGGCGGAGGCAGCAGCGGCGAGGAGAGCGACGAGGTGCGGCGCATGCGCGAGGAGCTGGAGGCGCTGAGGGCTCGGCTGCCTGCCGACGGCGACGGAGGCGACGCGGTGGCCTCAGAGGCTGCCGCGGCGGACGCGGGCGGTGCAGTCCCGCCTGGCCTCGCAGCTCCGCTCGCGGGAGGCTGGCCGCACGGGATCCCGCCGCTGGGGCCCTCGGCTGCTGGCGGAGGCGCAGGTACCACGGCCGCTCCCGCAGGCTCAGCAGCGCTGGGCGACCTGGCGGCCTGGTGCGGCGCAGCTCCCGCCCACGGAGGGGCGGACGCAGGATGCGGACCGCCTCAGATGCATGCCCCGCTGGCGGACGGTGGGGCGACCAAGACGGCAGCTGCACAGGTGAAGACGCTGTTGAGCGGGTTCGCCGCCGGGGCGAGGAGCGACCCCCTGTGGGCTCAGCGCTTCTGGGCGGCGGTGGCCGACCTGGAGGCAGCGGGGGCTCTCCCCGGCGCCGTGCTGGTGACCCTCAAGGGGTACGGCTACCTGGGCCGCGAGACGGCAGGAGCGCCTCGCCTGGGCGAGCTGCTGGCCGCGCTGGAGGCCATGAGCACAGCGGCCGTGCCCCTGGGAGGCTCGGGCGGCTTCGCCACGCCTGCCGGCGGCCTGGCCGCGTCGGGCGGCGGCAGCTGCGATATGCGCTGGGGTGCGGCGTTGCCCCCGGACATGCAGAGGGCGGCGCCAGAGATCTACCGCGCCATGCGCGCCGAGGGCAGCAGTGGAGCGCGGGACTGGCTGAGTGTTCGCTACACAGGGTCTCGCACGAGTGGCACGTGGACCGACCTGTGGACGATGGCGACGGCGATCGATTTCAGGCTCAGAACCTGCCAGAGCGACGAGGAGCTGATGCGGACCCTCGGCACGGACGATATGCTCGAGCTGTCCCTCCGGAGGCTGGCTTCCTTCGTCTACGAGGTGCGGAGCGGCGACAAAGCGGGTGCCGCTCACATGCTGGGAGTGGCCCCGCCTGGAGGGCAGACCGACATCGCTCCGACCTGGCTCGTACAGGCGGCCTCCAGCCACAGCAAGCTGGAACACCAACGACGGGAGCGCGCCGAGGCGGAACTCCGCTCGAGGCGCAAGGCCGACAAGGGCAAAGACAAGGACGGCAAGAGGGAGAAGAAGGGCAAGGGGGGCGGTGCCCCCCAGGGGGCTTGACTAGCCTCCGATGCGCGGCGGGGAGGGCCTGCGCCCCGCTCGCGCCGAGACGAACAGCAGGTGTGGGTGCCGACCACGCACCCGGGCAAGGAGGCGTTCAAGGAGCTGATGGAGGTCATGCAGATCTCCGAGAAGTTCTTGCCCATCAGGTTGATCCCGCGTCCCCGACCGCCAGGGGGTGCAGGGACTATGTCGAGCCGTCTCCGCCACAGGTACCGCTCCAAGCTTCGAGTTTGGGAGTGGGCCAACCAGTTCCTCCGCGGGGTGAACTCGATGTACGGAGGGGACTGTCGAGAACTCACACGCCGCCCTTTTGTTGGACCTCTGACGATGAAGACTTGGGCGGCGATCGAGCGCTCGCATCGCCTAGCTTTGCGCGAGGCGAAGCGCATGTGTCAGGCGCGCCGGGATTTCGATCCGACTGGCGTCCAGGCTCTGCTCGCATTGGCGGGGCCCGCAGCGGAGGAAGAGTACGGCCAGAGCAGGAGGGTCACGCCCCACGTGACGCTGAAGGCCTGGGCCGTGGACGAGCCCGTGTCGGACAGGAAGGTCAGGATGCTGGAGGCCCTCGACCCCGAGGAGGCGGCCTTCTACGAGCTGGAGAGCAACGTCATGGCCGACCCGGAGACGCGGAGCCAGGTGATCTTCAAGGAGCTGGAAACCAAGTACGGCTTCCTGGGGGGCGAGTACGGCGAGTACGTGGAATACCTGAACAGACCCGACCTGGTGAAGGGAATGTGGAAGTTCGCAAAGGAGAACGAGATAAGAGCCGTGGCAGGGCTCACGGTTGTGCCGAAGCGCTCGGGAGATCGTCAACGCAAGATCCTGATGACCTGCGCTTTCAACTACATGACGAGGGAGGTGCAGGAGCGCGAGGAGCACGGCCTTCACGGGGGAGGAGCCCTCCTGCGGCTGCACGCTGGTGGCGATGCGATCGCGGGGGCCGCGCTGGACGAGTCCAACGCTTTCTCCTACGTGGAGGTGCCGAGCTGGATGTGGCCATGGCAGGCCGCTCCCCCCGTGCTGGCGGCGGACGTGTGGGACCTCCTGGACGTCAAGCAGCAGCTGGAGGTGAAGCCGCATGAGTGGATCTACCCGATGTGGACCCGCTTGGTCATGGGCAACTCCCACTCGGTGCACGTGCTGATGAATATCAACATGAGGGTCGTGGGTATGACGTTGCATCACCACTTGAACATCGGGAAGACCGAGGCTTTCGACTCAACCGAGGAGTGCCAGCTCTGCGCTGGCGGCGAGGACGAGGACTGGGTGGCGCGCCAGGCCCTGCGGCGCCAGGCGACCGCCCCGTCCGTCGGTTACGGAGTGCAGGAGTGGTGCAGCGTAGTACGGGCGGCGAAGGCGTCTCGCCGACGCGTGTTCGTGGTGCTGCACCTCTTCTCGGGCCCACGGCGCGCAGGCGACCTGGAGGAGCACCTGACCGAGCTGGGCAGGGACGAGGACCTGGAGGTCCTCGTGCTGTCGTGCGACCTCGGGTTCGACTCGCGCTGGGACCTGACCAAGCAGGACACCTTCGACCTCCTCATGACGCTGGTCGAGGAGGGTTTGGTGGACGCGGTGGTCGGAGGCCCACCCTGTGCCACGTGGAGCCGCGCCCGCTTCGTCGACATGGCGGGCGGACGGGGGCCGCGCCCCCTCAGGCGGCGAGGGATGTGGGCTTGGGGAGTCCCAGCCCACACGTTGACCGCCTACGAGAAGCAGCGCCTGGACGAGGGCAACGTGGCCATGCTGAACTTCCTGTCCTTCTGCGAGGCCGTGGCGCTTCGCGGAGGACTCTGGCTCATGGAGCATCCCGAGGACCCAGGGGAGGATCCTTTCCCGTCGGTGTGGGCGACGGACTTGGAGCGAGCGCTGGAGGAGAGAACGGGGGCTACGAGAGCAGTCTTCGACCAGTGCACCTACGGCAGCCCCACCCGGAAGCCCACGTGTCTCGCCGGCAACTTATACCACCTGGAGATGCTCGACGGCCGCCGCTGTCGAGGAGACCACCGCCACGAAGTGAGCGTTGGGAAGCAAAACGGGAAGTTTGTTTCGGCCCGCCTGGCCGCCTACCCCGACAGGCTCTGCCGTGCGATTGCCGGCCTCTTTGTGATGAATTTCAAGAGGATGCTGGCAGAAGGGAGCGGCCCTACGGGGCATTTGAGAGCAGACATCGCGGTCCGACGCATAGGAGACTACTCGAGACGGACAGCTGGAGCCAACTCCAAAGGCCTACTGGTGTTGAACGAAGTTTCGGCGAGGGGCAGGAACGCGATCCTGCGAGAGGCGGACATCGGCGTCTACTTGCACATCGACGACTGCCTGTTCATGTCCCAGCTGAAGGAGCGGCCCGAGTCGGAGTTGGAGTGCGACGTGGCCCTCCACAAGTCCGCCGAGGCGCTGGAGAGGATCGGTTTCCTGGTCAAGGACCGTCGGAGGAGGGGCGAGATGACCAAGATCATCGGTTACGAGCTGGAGGAGAGACCGGCGAGGGTGCGGGTCCCTGCCGCGAAGGCCCTCCTGCTCTACCGCGCCCTGGAGCACCTCACCCGCCAGCACGTGGTGAACCTAGACAGCCTGAGGTCCGTCATCGGCGTCTGGATCTGGGCGGCGCTCGTGGCCAGACACTGGTTGGCCGCCCCCCAGCACATCTTCGCCTTCGCCGCACTCGAGGGCCCGAGACGACGCCGGTGGTGGAGCTCGGCTCGACGGGAGGCAGTGGCCATGATGAGGGGGGTGATGGGCCTCTACGCCGACTTGGGCGCGCCCTTCTACCCCGTCACCCTCGCGACGGACGCGGAGGGCGACAACGCGGTGGACGCGGGCGGCTTCGGAGTGGTCGGCGCCCTGCTTCCCGCGGAGGTCCAGGAGGCCATG